CAAGTATAGTAAGTGCATTACTATTTTATGATTATTGTGTGGCATGATGAGCATGTGAGCAATAACCACAACCAGCATGCCCGGGCTGGGGGAGGAAGGGTGAGCAACACCTGTTTGTTTGCATGGCCTAGGAGGGATAAAACTCTCCTTTTACTGCAGCTCCTCTCAGATGTGAAGTTTCCAAGGGAACTGGGAGAGGAGCAGCTGCTGACCAGACCACCCAGCACCAGAGATGGAGGCCTAGGAGATGCCACTTGAGCACAGGGATGTTCATGGTACACATGTGACCAGGTATGTGCTAAGCATGATAGCTTAGACCATTAAAGAATGAGCAGCTTGCTTGTACACTGGATTGACATTGCTTGGTATTGTGAGCTGAAGCAATTTGCAAGTCTTATGGCTCTACTTTGCCTAGGCTTTTGTGCAACTCAGCTCAACATCCAGAAACTTTTCAGTGGGTCACAGCAGCACAAATGTATGTGCTTGTGCTAGGTATCCAAAACTTGGATGGTGGCTAGTAAAGGGAAGGATTGTGCCAGTCTCCCCCTGATGTCCTAGTAGAAGTGCATTCTTTACAATGTCTCTCCAGCTGAGATGATCTTGCACAATAGCAACTTTATGCATATGCTGTGTCTAAGGTCTTATCCATCCCTTTTGTGCTTAGGAAATCGATTGATCTAGTGTGCTGTTGGCACTCCGATTGTCATGCCCAATGCCAAGAGGATCATGTTGGGAATTACATTGAAGAACTACTTGAGTTTCTCTGCTGGCAGCGGAGGAGGGGAATTCATGGCTCACCTGCTCCTCAATGTGGCAAATCCACACAGTCATTAGGATGGTTAGTTTTTTACTTTCTCTACTAGGTGAATTCATGGGTGTAGAGATTGGGACACTGGATGCTGGGTGCTGGCTAAACTCTAACAATAGTTAATTGTGCTGCCCATGATGATGGGAAGTGTGGTATCAAAAGGTCTTGGGTTATCCAGGTGGCAATGCATGGTGCTCTTTCTAACCGAACCATGACAAATTGTACCCATGAGATGTGTATGTATGTCTCTAGTGCCATTAAGCTTTCTCCGGCCCAGATCAAAATCCAAAATTGATAGAGATTTACATTTTGTTTAACAATTTTCGTCAAGAGAGTTTTGCTGATTGAGGATAAGTCCATTGTCAGACTCAGATGATTGTCCTTCCAATCCTTCATGCAAAAGTATCTAGCAGCTCTTGAAAAGCTGTCCAAAGAAGTTTGCAATGAGAGAGGATGATATTGAGGATGCATCTACTTAGTTGTTTAGTAAGAGCTCTCCTGTATTAGTACTGATACAAAATTAAGTATAAAGCGATATTCTTTATTTTTAATGTATTTTATTGCTCCAAATATACATTAATAGCTTGTTAACGTGTTTGTTACTTTCACATTACACTTGCTTTTTAGAAATGTTAATATAATAAAGTACTTGAAACAGCCAGTTTAAAATGTTTTAAATTGAATTCTATTTTCAATTTATCATTTACACCAGTTTTTATTCTAATAGCTAATTCAATGATTTAGTACAGGTGTATAATACAGCTAGACATAATTACTGTTACACAGTTAGAGCTATATTTTATTTATAATTCTTATTTTTTCATGTATCATAATTTTCATAATATTTTAATTGTACCCATCTCATTAGTATTTTTACTTTGTTTTTAATTCTTATTTTTAATGCTTATAATAAACTCTACCTAATATTATTATTTTTTAGGTCAAAATTAACTTTTAGAAATTGATTGTAACAGCATTTAAATATATAATAAGAAAACTATATTCTATATAGATGGTCTATCTAGATATCTCTAAAATATATAGAACCCAAACACTAGGTGATGGTCAAGGTTGCTAATGCTCAAGTGGCTAAATCTGGGATGGCTTAGTTTTATGAGTGTGTAAGTCCATAATCAAAACTCCAATTATCAACACTGAACACCAACAACTTTGTTCACAACACGGATAAGCTCATACCACTCTTTATTTGACCAAACTCAAAATA